ATGCTTCTCAGACAGTAATCGTCAAAGACTTCCAGCTTTCGTTCATCTTCCACACGCATAGCCCAAAATTCGCATCCATATAGGAGAACGGACTACACAGGTTACCTGTTAGCCTAGCTGCTGGTTACCCGGCGCGTCCACGGGTGGCGGATAGTGGAACGACCTTCAGTGAAGGTTAGCTGTGGAATAAGCGGACTTTCGGGTCTGACGAATAAGCAGTCGCGGACCGGCAGCGGCAGTGCTACCAGGGTGCAGCGGGCTGAGGCCTGGCAATCCAAAAGTCTATAAAGTGTCACAAAGCCTGACGACGGCGCTGTGACATGGCGAGCGTGAACCGCCATTAAATAAGTTCGCTTGGCACCGCTGCCTTGCGTTTAGGCTATTGAGCCAAAACGCTAGAAGAGACAACCTCGAACAAACAATCCGTGCGACTGTTGGGGTTCCGCTCGTACCCGAAATGCCCAAGCCACCTCACCCCAATGAATTTCAAGTAACTGACATCTGATGTCAGTGCCCCTGTTATGCCTCAGACTTACAGTATAATCCCTAACTTATTAAATCTGAATATCAAACTTTAAGGGGGGCAATTTGCTACACATTTGAGGTTGTCAGTTGTTGTTTACTGAAATGATTGGAGGCGCAAAAATATGTGCATTAAAAAGGTATCCAGTCCAAAAATAGTGTATTGAAGGGGGGAGGGGTCAGAATTGGGCAAAATCCACTGTTCCTTGATATCCAAGGAATTACCTACGCTCTTGCTTATGTTTGTTGTACTATAAACGACTATATATATAAGCCAGAAAAGTTTTAAGTAGATCTTTTCAGAGAACGGAAAATTGTGTTTTGCATTCATGAAAATCAGACGGTAGCAAGTATGATAAATCGCATTGTTTTAGGGAAAAGGTTGACGGGTTCAGTTTTAAAAATTCAGTTTTGCAAATTTGTGAAGTCTGGCGCAATAAATCAGGTAATAAACTCGTTCGGCCGTAATTTGTTTTATTACACCGATAATTAGGGCCGTAAACAAGCATATATATATACATATATATATATATAGACACCTGTGATATGTCGTCACTATTCTGCCACGCCATATACGAAAGATTGCCAAACAATTTGTATCTACAGTTGACTATTAACAAACACGGAAACTTGAAACTGAATGGATAGAAGGTACCAGTTTTTATAAAAACAGTATATATTCTGTCATTCTGCTGTCCATTTGCTATCTTAGAACGGGGCCTAAAAGTAAACAAATATATGTAAAACTACTTCAGTTTACAAAGAAAATTGAGTTCTTTCATTTTCAGCTGCATGTTTATCCCTAATTTTCAGTGAAGTCAAAAAACCAGACAAACTTTTCAATTTTTGCCTAGACTTAACCTCCGAAGAAGATAACCTAAGCAGATTTAATCCGTCGAAATATCTAATAAAAGCGTTTTTTTCAGAGGTAACTTCTAATGTTTTTAATTGATCTTAGGCCTAATTTAATTTGTGACTTTTATCGTGGACACACATTGTTCTCAGTTATGCGTTGATATGTTTGGCTGTGGCTACAAACATGGCCCAAACAGACAGCTGCATTAAAAACTGTGTCTAAAAACTCACTATTTCAGCAAATGGCTCTTAAGAAATATCTTATTTTGAAGGTTTCGAGCAATCGACTAAAAACGCCGAAAAATCCCAAAGTGTTTAACACTATTTCAAGAACGACCTGAACCTCCTCGCAGTCCAACAACCGAAACAATTACAAAGAAAGGTGACAAAAAGAAAGAAGGGTATAGAGAGAGCGAGATTGAAATGTCTCAGGAAAGAACTGGACTGGCACATACCGACCCAGTAGAGTGAGCACTGGGAGATCTAGACAGGTTTGACGCGACAATTGCAGCGCTGACGGCGCGTGAATTTGCGGAGATTTGGAGGTAGAGTTTGCCAATCAAGCCCACCGCTTCGCCGTCGGAAGTACGATCAGAGGGAAGGGCATTGATGTCCAGTGTGAAGGCCGTATCATCCACTGTTAAGTAAAGCAATAGGCAAAATGTACTACAGTATAGAAAGGCCGTGGGAATAGTTACAGTAAAAAAGGAAAATATCAAGCCTACAGCAGGCCACTTACGACTGTTGCCATGGTTACGAAGGGCGTCACGCACAGCAAAGCGGGAATAGCCGACCACCACAGCGGGATCACAGTCCGCAACAACACGAAACTCGATTTGTGAATTGATTGAGATGGTAAAGTGGGTCTTGGCGTTAAAGTGGGGATTCCATGAGTTTTTAAAGGGTGTCGAGCCGACATTGGACGTTATCTGTTGATCTGAGGGCGATTCTGAGGGAGGGGCAGCATCCCAGGCTGTGGTATTATAGTCTAACCGGAATGCGGGTTTACGAAGCCGTGATAGTGTGACCGAGTGGGTGTTCTTGCTAATCCTAGCACTGACAACTGAAAGAAGCGGAAACACAGAAATTAATTTTTAAAAATGCGGGTTTGCCGCTATAGGAAGACAATAGGAAACAGCTAAAACCTTGTGAAAAAGAAAAGGGTAAGATGTTAAGAAGTTAAGATTGTTGGAACAGACTTTATTTGCCTGCTGTTTCGGGTTTCAGCTCGAACCCATCATCAGTGAAGTTACTTAGTTTGCAAATGAATTCCTCGGCAGTTATTCCATGCCTATTGAAACAACTGTACACACTTGTTAATGAAATCAAATTTGAACATCTCATCAAAAAAGTGAGGTAAATGGCGCGTGGATCTGGTGGGTCTGGATTGTCCGAGGCGTAAATGCACCGTCGCAGTGACCTCTACGCACTACTGACTTGCGAATGATCGGCTCACTTGTAAACTGGCACATCCGTGAAATAGTGAGTTTTGGACGGGCCACCAAATAGACCTTACTATTTATTGAGGACACGCCAAGTTGCCGTCCATCTAATACGGTTCAGCCACAAGCCCTATCGAAGACAAGAATAACACAAGAGCAACGTCCCAACTCCATAAACCTGTCTAAATTAGCGTCACTGTGATAGAGATGGTGGTTAGCTGAAAAATTGGCGGATTTTTCAGACAGAAGTGGGGAGGACGATGAGCCCGAAAATCCTTAGTGCTTCGAGACAGGTGGTCAAGTAAACAACAAGTGCAGCGCCACAGAGGTCGCAATGGACTTTAGACAAACCAAATTAGTATTGGTAATGGATTAAAACCGACGTGAGTAGTGGAGCCGAAACCGGCCTGAAAATGCACTTTTAAGTCTAGACCAAACGACCTCTTGCGAGCCGTGTCAGGAGT